AAAAAAAAAAAAAAAAAAAAAGAAAACCACAGCCCCTCCCTGAACTGGAAAGTGGCATCCACAACGTGAAGGGGAGAGGCCGTGGGGAGCAACGTTGAAATGAACACACACGACGTGTCACGCCGTCTTCTGTGGGTATCAAATGTCGGAAAGTAAAATAGGGACAACATGAAGAGCCGGCAGGATTGACAAATAAATCCCAAAGCGTCACCTGCACAGCTCAGCGGAGGCCTTCCCCTCCCCCACCCGAAACCCTCAGCCCAGGCCTCGCTCTCTCCCGCTGTGGCCAGAGGTCCACGTCCTTCCTGCAGCCCAGAGTCCGGTATACCGCAGGTGCCTAATAAACACACACCCCAGCTGCTCAGACCAGCGGGTCCGGTTCGTGGCGGAATGCAGACTGGCCCCCTGGTGCCTTCTGGCCCTGAAGGGCCGGGCGGGTCCACACCCTCCACCCTGTGGCTCCCGGGAAGGGCGGGTACAGGAGTGTTTGCCGAATGAGTGGACGGACGTTTACACAGCAGGATTTATAACCCACATCAGACGTCAACTCTGGGAGAAACAGAGCCATCCACCCAGTGTCGGGCAGGTGGCGGGTCTCCCGGCGGGGTGCGGTGGGGCGAGGGTACCCCCTTCTCCCCTGATCATTCCTCCCTGGTGATTCACTGAAGCCAGGTGGGGCCCAGGGCCTGGCTCTTGGGTTCAAGGCCACTGGGTCCACTCCCCTGCTGTCCTGGGCCTCGGTGCCCTGCCCCCGGAGAGTGGGCAGAGCCTGCAGATTCAGCTACCACACCCGAGGGGCTGAGATGCCACCGGGCACCCCGCGCCTGGTATACAGTAGGTGCTCAATAAACGCGCTCTTGGTGGTTGTGCTGGTTGCTGATATGACAACTTTTTTTTATTTTTTGGAGACGGAGTCTCACTCTGTCCCCCAGGCTGGCGCGCAGGGGCGCGATCTCGGCTCACTGCAACCTCCGCCTCCCAGGTTCAAGTGATTCTCCTGCCTCAGCCTCCCGAGTGGGTGGGACTGCAGAGGTCCCCAACACGCCCGGCTGATGTTGGTGTTTTTGGTAGAGACGGGGTGTCGCCATGTCGGCCAGGCTGGTCTTCGTCTCCTGACCTCCTGATCCGCCTGCCTCGGCCTCCCAGGGTGCTGGGATGACAGGCGTGAGCCCCCGAGGCCGGCCGCTGTCACAGGTACATAGCCCCAGTAACGCGGGGGGCTGAGGCAGGAGAGTCACTGGAACCCCGGAGGTGGAGGTGGCAGTGAGCCGAGACCGTGCCACCGCACTCCGCCGAGGATGCCGGGATCTCACGGCAGGCATTCACAGGGCCTCACCCCTGCACGGCCTCACAGTGGTAAGGACCTCACCCCTGCAAGGCCCCACGGTGGTAAGGACCTCACCCCTGCACGGCCTCACGGCGGTAAGGACCTCACCCCTGCAAGGCCTCAC